TGTGTGTTGTGATCTCTCCTCCTGTGTGTGTTGTGATCTCTCCTCCTCTGTGATCCGTCTACGTAGCCGGGCCGGCACTAACGGCGTGTTCCTCTCTCACTTCTTTAAATGTACAAATAAACATTCTGCCTAACCAAGAGCCTGTTCGGCGATGTTCTGTGAAGAAAGAAGACAAACCGACCCGAAGAGAGATACGAGCCAGACCCGAGGACGTGGCTTTGGGTCTCTGGTCTAAACCGGGTTCAGCGTGTTGGTATCTGTCCTGGTGGACTTGTGTGGGACTCAGCGGTTCTCTCCATGGATTCATTCTGCTGTGCGGTTGAAACCAGGCGGTGCTCGGCCTCCACGTCGACTCCTCCTCCTCTGGTCGGTTCTCCTTCCTCGCCTCTGACCTCAGGTCTTCAGCAGAGATGAACCATGAAACACCTGGAGAGGACCAGGGGGATTCAAAGCAGACAAATCAATACAAGGATTTAGTTCTACTCAGGTATAAATATACGTTTACACTTGTGCACAGACACCAACTCTGTAGTCTGACGTACCTTCAGGGAGGGTCTTTGGTGGGCTTCTCTTGCTCTTCCTCTGTCTTTGTGACCCCTGACTCTGAGAGGGGCTCCTTTTCCCTCCTCTTCCTCTCTCTAAGCTGGACGAGGAAGAGGATGTTCTGGCTTCACCAGGCGAAGGGAATGTGGTTCCAACATCTCGTGTGTGGCGTCGAGTCCCGTTGCTGACGAGCTCCAGGTCACCTGAGGAGAAAGAGAACACCAGTGGGAAGAATCTCTTAAAGAATTACTTTGGTTAGTTGAGGACTAAACACAATAGCAGACTTTCTCTGAGAATAGAGAGTTGCATTATGGGTCGTTTGTAGCCTTAATATGCTACGGCTACGGTATCTTTTAGAGTCGAGTCAGTTTAAGAAGCTCAGAACCGTCGAGCCCAGAGAACGAGCTGCCAAAAATAATCAGTGTCAAGAGAGTGAATGTGATGAACTGAATGAAGAATTTGTTGTTAATTAAACTGGACAACCTGTAAAATAAAGTTTAGTTTGACCAGAAGACTCTGTTGGTACGTTTGGGATATTTTCTAAAAGTGTTTAGTATCTTCAAACACTCTTAACAATATCCGGTGTTATAATAATATGTGACATGTTAACACAAATGTGCTTTGCTCCTCTCTATTGGTGACTGAGGGAACACATCAGTCATTTATCATGAACAGAAATATGTGAGCACTGTGTGATGGTCTCTCTCTTAGTGACGTCCTCTGCTGCACTGACCTGCCTGGACGCCTCTGCTGACCAGTTTCACAGCCTTCTTGGCTGCCAGAGGCCTGGAGGCGCCGCGGCGAGACGCTCGGTTGTCGGTGCTGGTTGATGTTGTAGAAGCAGCAGCAGCCTGAAGACCAATGAAATGATAGACATTTAGATCTGAAACTACAAGCCACTATCGTGTGTTACTGTGTTCTGTGCTCCTTCAGAGAACTATTTCACAGAACACAGTGTGACACGCCACAGCAGGAAACAACACGGGAGTAAATAATAAATGAACGATGGCTGAATTCTGTTTCGCCGCTCTCTGCAGCAATGCAACCTGCAGCTCTACAGTCACGAGACTTTAACATGACGTTCAGGTTCCTTTGGTGGTCGGATGATCTGCAGATGTACTCACTGTGGACTCATCGGTGCTCTCTGACAGTGTGATGAGGTGAGGTGGCTCTTTGTGTCTTCCTCTCCTCTGTTCTCTCCCTTCTTTCTGCTTGCTGATGGTGCTGTACAGTTTGCTGAGGCTGGAGCTCGGTATCAGGTGCTGGACTCGGTGGGCGCCGAAGGCTCGGACCAGCCGCGCCGTGTCCACGGTGGACATGGAGCCGGAGACGGTGGACAAAGTCTCCGACTCGTCTCTGTCTGCAGGACAGAGGTGCTGACTGTGGGAGGAGCCCTGAGAGAAGCCGGAGGTGAAGGAGTCACGGCTGTCCTCGTCTGCAGGTTGAGACGCTTCCTCTCCCTGAAGCCTCTGCGTCCAGGCCTGAAGAGGGACGGGAGGTTCACCGTGGACCTTTCTACCTCCTCCGACGTTCCTCTCCAGTCCTCTGGCCTCACAGCCGAAGCTCCTCTTCACCTCTCCAACATCCTCTCCCCTCCTCCCTGGCTTCTCTTCTTGTAGTCCTGACATGCGTGTCTCCCTGGTGCTATGAATGAGACAGGACAGGCGTTCTAGCCGCTCAAGCAGTGAGGCCTCTCTGTCGCTGGTTGGTCGGGACTCCTCCAGGCTCCACTGAGCACAGAACCTCTCCCACAGCTGGTCCAGAGTGCTGCTGCTCTGCCGGGCAGCAGGGTGAGGGAGGTGAGGGTCCCTGCTCTCCTGGTCTCGCTCCCCTCCTGCCTTGGGGGCGGAACTTTGGTCCAGGTGATGGCCCGCCTTGTCGTAGTCCACATGAAGTGGCTGAAATCTCACACGGCTTCGCTCTGGTGGATCAGAACTGGGGAACTGCACTGGGCTGGTCCCCTGGTTTATCTTTGAGGCTTCCTGGTTGCTCGATAAAGGCAATCTGGAAAAGACAACCGATCCCTGAGAAGACGGTTTTGGAGCTTGAGACCCAGCTGTTCGTGAGGTTCCATCTGTTGATACAGACGCACCTGTGAGGAGAGAGCGAGATAACAGGTGTTACTATTGAATTAGGATAACGTTCACTCTTCTAAATAATACATGTATCACTCTTTGCCTTATGTACCAACAAAGATACAGAAAAACAAAGCAACGCTGTGTAAGCAAAAGCACACATAAGTAACATTTACATTTAGATTTAATTCAACCAGAGTGAACAAATTAACAATTAGCTTTTTTTTTGTTGCGCAATTATTGGACAGATGATGCTTGTGTTACGGATGCATGTAACACAATAGATCTTGATGA